GACGGGGGCCCTGGCCCCCCTGGCCCCCCCCCCCCCCCTGCTAGCGCCGCCCCTGTAAGCACTCAATCCCCGGGGCCCACTTAACCCATTCCAGAGGGAGGCAGAGGGGTCAATCAAGCTATGACAAGGGATTTAAAAGGCTTAGTTTAATCGATATTAAAAAATATATTCCCCCACAAATTTTAATATTTCTCACCGAAGGGGGCCCTGTTTCCCACCCTCCCTCACTCGCGCCACCCCTGGCCACCCTGGATCCGCCGATGATAAAAATTAGGTGTACGTAAAGAGGGGACCGAATTACTTGATTATCCTTTGATTATCACATTCATATACAGACCTGTGCACACACCTAACAGATTTTGCAAAATGAAATAATAAAATACTTACACAAAAGATCTGCTGACCTGTTCTTCGTCACAATCTTATGTTTCGTAATGAGCTGAATGTAGTCGTTTCCCGTCATTTACATCTTTAGAATTATGTACGTGATGCTCTGCATATACAACATTTCATTTTAAAATAATGTTAGAGTCCATTGGTCATACGATTTAATATCCGAATTGTGATTGGTTATCTATAGAAAATGCGATATCCTGGGAATTTTCCATCACTGTACCATACATGACCTGAGGTGGTAAGTTAATATTTTATTTGAGATATAGGCCTATCACCGTCTCAGTAATTATAGCCTAAAACTGATGCCTTTTGTCTTCAAGTTAAATTAATTTGGAGAATACATTATCCATATCTTCCTTGACATTACACCAATTGATAATTTATTTCCTTCAAATCAATTACGGAAATGAATGATAAAACTTTTACATTCATACCACAAGGATTGATGATCCTCTAATTCGAGACCCCCTCTAATTCTGATATCCCTCTAATTCGAGACCATAGTATCAACTAACGTTTGTTTGTTCCTAGGTAGGGCCTACTTGACTTCTAGTCATTTACTTTATGAAGAACAGAACACAACATTTACAGTTGTCTAAAATTACAATGCTTTTCTTTTTTTCAAAAGAATCATAAATGTCTTTGGCAATAAATGGTACATTTTTAGTTGATAAAATGATAGAATTTAAAATAACATGGGTTAATGTTAATACAATAACATTTAGTAAATAAATTAACTTAACAATATTTAATTTGTTATTACAGTCTTAACATCTTAAGGCCAAAAAAAGAAAAAAATCTTGTGTTGGCCACGTTTTGGGAAAATAAAAAAAATGGGTAAGTCGGTAGGATTTAAAAAAAAAAAAATCTAATATAATAATAGGCCTATGTTTTACTCCTAAAAAATGAAACTAAAATTGTTAGCTCATTAAAAAAATAATACTTTTCGTTGTAGTAAAAAAAAATTAAGCAACATTGGGTTGATCATATACCACCATGGTTTGATGTTGGGCTGGATTAAAGGGCACGTTTGTGTGGTGAATCCCTGGGGTAGGGTTGCTAGCCACCCTCACGCACTTCCACTTCCTAAAGTCCGTAGTCTTCCGACCTTTAAATTATTCTTCCTTAATTGTAAAAAGAGCGTCTAGTGACTTAATTTTAAACCATCATAGGCGTAGATCCCGGGGGGATTGGGATATATCCCCTAATATTTGACAAGGGCGGGGGTGGTCCATTGTACCCCCCCCCCAATATTTTGACTATGTATGGGATAAAATGGAGCTTTACACACTTCAAAAGACTGTCACAGAAATAATTTGCAATGTCTTATGCGCTTACAAAGATGAAAATTAGCATAATGTACGGTATTAATGTTGATAACAAAATTATTTTATCTGGTACCAATCTAAGCTCTTCTTTTCTTAGATGTTAGATGTGCTTGCAAAGCAAGCCACGTTTTCATACTGAAGGGTGTGTACGACATCAGTAATTTTATGTCAATTCCAAGAATTTTCAATCATCCCCACCAATGAAAAATACTTTTCTACGCCCTACTCCACCAAGGCTACCACCACTCAATGAGTCTCGCCCGATACACACTACATAATGAAATAATAGTGTGGACAAAAAGTAATAATTATACGAACATTATCTTCGCCGTGAGCATATTAACCGCTGGTTATTCAGCCTTAGGCTTCTGTAGGCCTAACCCTTAGACGATAGATGTTTTTACGGTCTCGTTTTCGGCAAATTACTAAAATTTGACATCCACTGGAACAGTGTGCTGCCTGTACCGGATGGAGAATGGGTGGGGTATGTCTCACATTTTGTTTAAAATACATAGAATGTTTTTTCTCTCCGACAAATTGTGTTTTTCTCACTGACTGGGTGTGGGGAGCGAAAGTTCTCCCCGATTGGTGGACTACTGTCGCCCCTGGTGCAACCACTATACTGGGCATAAACTAATCTCGACTCCCTCTAAGGCCCTTTCCTGGGTAGCACCCCAGACCACCCTTCACCTGTTTCCACAGACCACTCGCACGGTTTTACAATCTAGATCTGCCATTTTCACCCCATTTCTGCAGCAACATTATTGTATTATTAAGGTGATATACTAAGTTCATTCACAATGTGGTGATGTCCTGTGTCATGAGAGATGATAACTCCACAATGCTTAGTCATGCCTATAACTGTAACAAAAGTGACGTATGCTGACCATGTGGTATTCATAAAGATACACAAGAACATCAATTTGGAAATTTTTTGTTTTTTTGTTCTTCTCAATCTTATTTTATGCTAAATTTAAATATTATTCTATTGTATTATAAATTTTTATACTGTACTTTATCAAATAATTAATTAAATTACAGTATTAATTTAAATTATTTCACTGTTTATTGTACATTTTATTATATACTTTTATTTTTGATTACTAAATTTTAATTAATTTTATATTCATTTATTATTTTTATCGTTTTCCATTATCATTTGATTTTTACCTTTTTTCCTATAAACATAATTTTTCATTTGTCAATTACAAAGCAGTTTAATTCTTATGTTGACATTTATTGTCTCGTTGTAATACCACCAATTGATCATTTCCGTATAAACCAACAACAATGATAGGCCTAATAGTAATTGTAACAATAGTAGCTATAATAGTAATTATAACAATAATAATAGTAGTTATGATAGTAATTATGACAATAATATTAATAATAATGATAACGAAAATTGCTATTAATTTTATTGTTATTGATATTATTAATTATGAAATAAGTAAATTCTATTGTAAATTATAACTTCCTGTATTTGAATATGATTCTGTATGTATGATAATTGTTTTTACTTGACATTTATTATTTCATTGTTTATTGGTTGTTTGTTTGGATAGTTGTTGGTGTGTATTTTAGTCCATTATGAATTTTGATTAGCGATATTAATCAGTGGCGCACGACAAGGAACATTTGTGAGAAATTCATTGTCACCGGAATATGATACCGTATAACACGTACGCCAAATGAAAGGTGAAAATAGCTTAGTCATGAATAGAATATTAAACAAACACACAGATTCCTCAGAATCTTTAGATTAATAAGGAGGTCAACTAGTTGGGTGTGTTGGTCACTGCACCTATAAAGAATAATATACAGTATCTATCTAGGTATTTGTTGGTAGCACAGAGGGTATGCGTCTTATTGGGACTTAAACGGATTGACGTCCCCACTCTAAGGTGCATAGGCTTCATTTAGGCTGGGGTATGCGGGTCATTATAACCACTGGAATGACTTCTACCCATGGATGCATTGTTGTTATTGTATAGAGTATTTTAATTTTTGCCAATTATGTTTTTGTCATGTACTTAGATGTGCTGATATTGGCCCCATGGTGGAATATGCAGCAATAAAATATGTAATGAATTGAATTAAATACAAATACAAATAATAATAATAATAATAATAATAATAATAATAATAATAATAATAATAATAATAATAATAATGTTACTATCAACGTAGTCACGAAAATAATAGAGACATACAAAACATTAAAAAAAAAGTTGGGTAGGCCTATATTTGTAGGTCCTATTTTTGTAGGTTTACTATAAGCATAATTATACCCAGTGTTATTCGGTCCGCATTACACTCATATCACTAGACTTTGAACTCAGATATAATATAAAGGAATAAACAAATATATTTCAAACGTTTGACAACGTCACTTTCAAATATTAGGGTTATTGTTAAACAATGTTATTTCCCTAATTCTGTTCTTCAAAATTGTATGCAGAACATCGCTTATGGCTTATGAAAGCGTGTTTACTATTGATGACTATGTTTTATTTGGACTCGTTATTTGTATTTATCTTTTCTCGGGCTATCATTTTTCACGGGCTACAGGCAAGACCCAAAATGATGAAGATTTCGAGTTCGCAAGTCGGTCATTTAACGGGAAATTGATGTGCATGTCCTTAGCAAGTTCTATGATACCGGGCTTATCTATTTTGAATATAACGGTGCAATTTTATTACAACGGTCCTGTAGTGGGGTTGATCCTGCTCTCCTATTTTATTGGAATTTCAATTACTGCTGTTGTTTTCATACCACTCTTCTCACGTTTGAACACATCCAGCATATTCACAGTAGGTAATTTTATTGCATTTGCCGTTTGTCTCCATAATGTTTGGGAAGATTACATAAACTAATTATTTATAGAACTTTACAGTGAAATCCTTTTTATTTGTTGACGAAAAAAATTGAGGGTATATTCAAATGGTACAATTTCTTTCTGATTCTAATTTTTAGGTTACTTTAATAAAAGCAGAACAAGTAAGGCAATCAATTCAATATTTTCTAGGCTTAAGCCTAGACGATCTGAAAATGTTATCTTAATAGACGTTTTTCCTTATTCTTTTATCAATGCCATCATGTTCTGATATGACCTGGTCGCTGATCTCGAGCAGATTCATGGTGCTGGTGGAGTAAACCTACCGTACTAGAAGCACCGAGAATGTACAGATAGGAAGGCCTCCATATTATAATCAATTTTAGAATCGTAATTAAATCGTAAAATTACGATATAATTTATCGAAACTTTAACGATGTATTGTTGAAACCACAATCTTCACAAAGCAATAGCTGTTCTCTACTTTCCATTCCTGCTTTTGCAGTAGTTTAAATTGAAAACCCTCCAATTATAGACCACCTCAAATTAAAGACCACCTTTCTGTGGCCCCAGATTAACAAATGTCATTTTACTTTATTTTTCTAATTAGAGACAAATGCTGATAAAGACCATCGAAGCCCTGGTCCCAGAAGTGGCATTTAATTGGAGGGAAACCTGTATTAAATAATCGTGTGATCCATTATGAGCGAATCGTCCACTGAATGAATTTCTATTGTCGTCTGTTTCTATTAATACTATTATTATAAGCTTAGTAGTTGTTTCTTTGATGGCTTATAGAAAAATTGTTATTACCGTACATTTTGTGACATACTTTTTTGTAGTATTTAAAGCTTCGATTTTCAAGATTCATTCAAGTCTTAGCAGCTATTGTCTTTTGTATTCACTTGGTAGGTTACGAATTATTATATTTCTTTTTATATTTTTCTTATTTACTATTTAGCTTGTAATGACTATATACAACGAATACACACTTAATGTCAAACCATACGACGCGCCATCCACAAACATTCATCCTAACAGAACTCACTAGGAATTTTCTTGATAAGCAAGAAACCATACGTTTTTTACAATAAGGTGTATCATTTTTTCTGTATCATTTTTATGATGCATAATTTACATGTATATATAAATTTAATATTTATTTTGATTCGAAGGTAATATTTTGTATCCTGAATTCGTATGTTTCCGTATCAGCGCTAAGTGAAGGTACGTTAGTAGACCTACCAATGTCTTTTATTTGGCTCTGTTAATTTCTGTAAATGTTCAAAAACTGTTCTATTTTTTATTTGTTTTTAGTTCATTTCTTTTATTAGTTTCTCTGATTTCACTGAACTGAAAAAAGTAAATAACTAAATATCAAAGCATTACATTATACAGTTTTAAATACATTCAAGAGATGATTCTTGGCAATAAAATCTCTTTGGTTATTCCGATGCTCTGATAGTGACTGTTTTGATTTTTTTTTTATCTTAACTATATATTTATACTTTTATATATTTTAGCTACTGGTTTTCCATCACAAACTGTTGTATTAATAGGAAGTGTCACTACATTATATACAACATTGGTAAGTACTTCGAGTTTCATTCTCTAGTATGAAATTTCTGACCCATAGACCTAGAACTATATACGAACAATGTATCCAGTTCTGGTTCTGGTGGGTAATGGCGAAAGTCAATTGATTGCCGTCATCGCTTTGGTTCCTATAAAACCATTCAGTAAATATTGTTCTCTGGAAGACACCAACCTCAACCCCACCTTAGCTGGGCCGAGTTCAGCAAATTTTAGGAATTGTAGACATGCACTTATAAATGCTCGGCTCAAAAATTACAATCTTAGGCTGTTGTAAAATTTCTTTAGTTTTTTTTTTCAGTGCCCTCTTTTAAATAAAATAATGTGCGATGCTTCACGAGTGGAGATATTTTGTTATTGTGGCAGGATGTGTGACAATTCATTTATATGCATGGCGATAGCATCTGAACTTCTCCTTGATTGAATATTGTATTGTAGGATGAACATTGTGAGAAATCAATACTATAATGCAAATATTAATGAAAAAAAACCCAATTTCACTGCTCATTATAATCGCATAAAATATGTTTTAGTTTGAATCCTGATATCACATCAAATTACAGGGAGGTTTACGTGCTGTAGTATGGACCCAGGCGTATCAGTATGTAGTTGTGTGTATCGGACTAATGGGATTCGTCATTAAGGGTGTTATTCAGCAACGTTCGGACACATTTACATCTTTCAAACTATTGGGCGATAGTATAAGGTATTTTATAACATAAATAAATGAAATATATTCAGTATATAAATACCATGTATTATATTATAAACAAATATTATTCTGTTGGTTAGCTCCCCAGTTCCATTATGGTATTGGACAATGTCGTATATGATAGGTGCAACTTTCCAAGTGATATCGGTTGTAGCTGTTAACCAGTCGTATATCCAGCGAGCTCTTGCAATTCAACCACAGAAAAGGAAAAGGTAACCAGGTTTATGGCTGCTTATATAGTGTTATCCTCTTCTATTAGAATATAAAACTGACTTGCAATATAATATAATATATATATATATTTATTTATTTGTTTTATATTTATTATATATATTTATTTATTTGTTTTATATATATATATATCTGTCTCTTATACACATCTAGATGTGTATAAGAGACAGATTAATAATACTAGCCATCCTATAAAGACAAATTACCATAAGGTACTGTAGACATATACCGCTGTCTCACTGCTTAGATGGATTAATCAACTGAGGTTGGGATAGGGTTGCTTTCACAAGTGGACGTAAGCAGATATCTCACCGGCTAGTTCGTTGTAGCAAATAATAATAATAATAATAATAATAATAATAATAATAATAATGTTAGTTTTACAGAGCGCTAATACAAAATATTGCTTATAAGGGCTTTACACAAAATGAATACAAGAAATGGAATGAGACCATAAAATATTCACACAGTAACCAAAAAATGAAGGATACCAACTTTATTCATTCTTGTAGGGTTTTCTTAGGCAGTTTGGTGCCAATATCTGTAATTTTTCTACTCCTACTTCTCTCAGCTCTAATAATCCACGTAACAAGTTACGACTGTTCTTATTTGTATCCTGATCTGCCATTTCTACAGGTACCGTATGGAATATCATATTTATAACTTTATGCCATCATAAACAATATTATACGAGTCCTTTACAACAAATTATACATTAAAAGTTTTGTAGAAGGCTATTTTTTGTTTTCCACATTATAGACTCTTCATAATTGAAATAGTAATTCGATTAAAATTAAACCAATAATACTTATCCAGATAGAATTTTGGAAATAGGCCTACAAGTTATAATAACGCACCTATAATAAGGTGTGTTATTATAACTTGTATTTCAGCTCTCCAGCTGCCCCATCTCCCATCGCTGCCGCTTTTTGTATTTCAGCTGGAGAACTGAAGTACAAGAAGAGGCAGCGATGGGAATTGAACCGGGAAACACGGTTCAGCACACACACGTGGCTTCCACCACATTAGCCGACTGAGCTAAGATGCTCTCTTTAATACGGCCTAATAATAAAGCAATATTATCGTGCAAAAATACTGAGTCTTTAGGCCAAATTTAGGTCTGTTTTGTTATTTTCTGATCTGGTTGTCTTGAGTGTCAGTGTGAATTTAGGGTTGAATATAGATATAATGGAATTGGAAAACGATGATAGGATGTCGTCATGGAAATTTATCATAGGCCCACGTCTTGAAAGCGCATAAGTTTTTAGTTAGAAGAGGTAAGGTTGGCCTAATTTTGTAAAATCAGCAGTTGCTCATGTAGCTGATGGGGGGATGGGGCGGTGTTTAAGTGGGTTGGGGCTCAAAGATTAAGAGAGAGAAAGCTGACTGGCAAAGAAAAAGTGATATTAGGTGAGTTTTAACCACGTGAGTGTATTTGTTTAGGTCAGCGAATTTTCTGTGTGTGCTTGTGTGTGATGTCTGGGTTAAGGGTAGAGAGAGGTTTCAGAGGGTGAGGTGGTGGGGGTGGAGGAGAAAATCGGTTGCTTTCCCACGCTCACCCGTAGATACACCACTTCAAATCAGGTCATATATTATCAAGATATCATTCAGATGTCTTGAAAGTCAAAGCAGATAATTATATAATGGTACACTATACAACAATCACCATTCACCTATTTCCGTGACCGTCACGGGTATTATTTTTCTGATTTTTAGCGTCATTTGCTATGATTTGTTTTAATTGCAGGTTCTGCCCTATACTGTAGCCCATGGATTGAACGATCATCCCGGGATGTCTGGTTTCTTCTTAGCCGTTGTCTTTAGCGCATCGATGAGGTAATCAGTTTGTTTGTACCTCTATTTCAAATGTGTCCAGGGGTAATTTAAATTATGCCATCACCGTTTAAAGACATTATAGAATTTGTGCTATTCTTAATGAAAAAGATTAATATAAGACATTTTGAAGAATAACTGTATAGGGAATACGTGTTATTTAATTATTACAAGTGGCGTATCTAGGAGCCTTGAAATAGTGGAGCTGAAGGGGTAGGGAAAGTGAAGAAGGTGGCACAATTAAGAGAGAGGGCACAATTAAGAGAGAGGGCGTATTAGGTGATTTTTAACTATTTAAGCGTATTTTGCATATCCAACATTCTCTGGGGGGGGGGGGGAAAGCTTTTTTTTTTGGACGGGGAGGTGAACACCATTGTTTATTATCCTGTATTAATCCAGAGTCCTGTGTTTCTATTATTTTCAGCTCTACTTCTTCAACTTTGCATTCGGTAGCTACTATTGTGGGTGAAGATTTTATTAAAAGTACATTTGGCGAATTACGAGATTCGGTGTACTTGATGCTTCTTAAAGGATTCGGTTGGTCGGATTTCCATTTCAGTCTAAACTACGTCATATATTTACAATCTACACTAATACGGTACATCATTTATATACTGTATTTCTTATCTATGTATTTCAGTAATTTGCATTGGCGTTATGGTTATTTTTGTTCCGTTGCTAATAAATGGTAACCAGGCTCAACAAGTAAGTTAAATTAACAAAACCATATTCCGTATTAGGCTATTCCAATTGAAATATTAACAATGTGCTAAATAGTTATACATATATACCTTATTTAAAACACTGTATATGTACCTTTGATGATTTATATTATATTTAATCAACAGTGTTAACGGCTAACTCCCTTTAATATCATATATATATATATAATATAACTTCCGTTGCTGTTGCAATTTGAGCAATTAACAAGAACATTTTCCAGCGTTCTTCAGTCATGTTCTGAATCTCAGTCTGGAGGAAGATGCTAGCATGATTAGCCTCCAAGAACAGACTCTGCTTCTTACATTTCTTGTACATTGCTTCAACAGTTTGGTAAGAAAAAAATAAGACATTGTATTGTTTTTTTTTTTTTTTATTGAGTATGATTTTATAATTGTTTTGTTGCTTTATTTTCAGGGTGTTGATTTGATACGTGAACAAGTGCAGCGATTAGTGTCACTTCCCATGTGGGCTTCCCTCCTTGAGGTAAGAATTGTTTTGCAGTTTTCATGTTTTCCTTTTCTTTCCTTCATTATTGTCAGTATAATACAAGCAAGCTAAAGTTGTATATGCTATGGGATGGTCTGAAAATTTCCTTTAATTGTTGCTTGAATTGTTTGGGAGGCTGGTTATGTATGGTATTATTGTCTAACTTATAGACTCGTCTTGAACAAGAATTGAAGAAAGATAAACGATATCGAAAATTCTGGAATGTCGTTAAGAAGAATGATGGAAAGGCAGATGAAGAAACAAGAAAAAGGTGAGAACCAACAGCACTAGATTCTGTTTGTCAGCTGAATCCCTAGCAGTGTGTTTTAAAACTGAGTTTTTGTGTTTATGTATTAGTAGATAAATGTCTTGAAATTAAACAATATCATATTTCATATAATTTTCCAATTTACTTTGTAGGAATCATTTTGAGAGGCATTTCTTGGCTTCCCTTATCAAGCGGTTTTACAAAGTATTAGACCTGTCTCTTATACACATCTAGATGTGTATAAGAGACAGATATATATGTGTGTGTGGGGGTGGGGTGTGGGGTGTGGGTGTGTGTGTGTGCAGTAACGGCTCTAGGATATATTTTCTGGGGGGCTAAGTTGTCCGACAAGGGGGACTTGAGCTCGTAGACTCGAGCTGGGAGAAGAGGTTGAAAGAGGGTTCCCTCTCCAAATGAGATTTTTTTTAAGAATATCAACCTCTAGATGGCCGAAATGGCACTCTCAGACTGTGACAGACATGTGTTGGCTTGGTGTGGGCCTATTTTTATATGTTTTATGGTCTGACTGCCCGACGAGCTCTGTCTGGCGGGGGGGGGGAGGCTTGACCTGTCCGGTGGGGCTTAAGCCCCCCTGCCACCCCGCTGGCGCCGCCACTGTGTGTGTGTATGTGTGTATAAATTGTTTTGCGTAATACCGTAGTATAGTGGTTTTGGTAAAAGAAACTACACTTATATTAGTGACACTTATAATAGTTTCGAGTCCCGCTAGACCTTTTTGTTGATTATGACATTATAATATGTTTCCATCTTCAATTACTATTATTATTTATTATTATTATATTGTCATTCAGGCAGCCTTCATTGCCTTCATAACTTCCATTATCTTCAACATCTGGAGTTACATTCATGGTACTAATTTGGGACTTAACACACTACCTCATCTTGAGCCATCGTTCAGTTGCTACGTAAACGGCACGACGATGATGATACATCAGGCAGCTGCTGATCATACGTATGTATTATAAAATCCTATGTAACTCTCTCTTTGTTAAAATTTAAAAAAAATTCAAACATGGAATTATACTTTCCCAGCTTTTACAGTTACTGTGTACCGGTGTTAATAATGATGATGATGATGATGATGATGATGATGATGATAATGATGATGATGATGATGATGATGATGATGTTGATGATGATGGTTTTGTTGATGATGATGAAAATATATAATAATAATAATAATAATAATAATAATAATAATAATAATAATAATAATAATAATAACAATAATAATAATAATAACAATAATAATAATAATAATAATAATAATAATAATAATAATAATAAATGATGATGATGATGAGAACCAGTATAACAATTAAGCTCATATAACACAAACATGATGGGTAATAAAACAATATGAGATGTTATAAACTAAACGCACTAAATGTATATTCTTTCAGGAGTGAACTGCATCTATGGAATGGTTTGTTTTCGTATCATTGGTATGCATTCTCAGGCTTTGTAGTAGTTATCGTCATCGGTATAGCAATAGGACTTATTAGAGGTAAAAAATCATAATCATTATGTCTACTCACTGTGAAAGTTTTGTAATTTCAATATTTTTTTTTTTTATTCGCACAGTATCATTCTCTCCAATCTCAATTTACTCTGGTACGCAATAGTCAGTTTATGTTTAAGATACAGTAATTTTACTATGTTTTGTATAAATGTAATCAGATACATGTTTTTCAAGCCCTTTTTGAACCTTTTAATGATAAAAAAAAACTTAATGTAATGAAATTGCTTTAATTGTTTTTTTTTTAAATTGGAGCTCATTTGGACAAACGCTGTATGTGAATGCCATTTAATTTATAATATTTAAATAACCTTTAACTATTTCGTTCCTAGGCTGTCGACCCCATGAAAACCCTGAGCTATTATTAATCAAATCCAGCTTAATGTCGTTGGATTGTATTCATGTTGGTACGAAAACATTTAGGAAAAGAAGGTCCGAAAGGAATTATAACCATGAAGATGTTCATAATCACGATGATTATTATGAAGATAATGACGACAAACAGAGAGTAAGTGGCACATGTCGTTGTTATTACAATAACTACATTCTTGTCAATAACATAATACGTAGGCTATAATACAGAAATGAATAAGTGAATAAAAGCTTTCGTCTGTACTGGATTTCTCTAGGTGTAGTTGTTGCAGTGGTCTGAAGGAGGCCTATTGCCTATATATAGCTAAAAAAGAGGAGTAATTATAACTGTAAGATGATACCTTCATCTGAAGGCTACAATATAATAGGCCTATAATTATGTATTTTGTTCATTCAATCCGTAGGAATTCTACGAATTGGAATTGTACCATCGATCTCCTTATCATCGTTCAACAAACGAGCGGTCGCGATGGCTTACGGAAGGAAATCAATTTTATGAATCCAAATCAAAACATACTTCTGATCAAGTGGAAGTTGATGCATGTGAAGATATAAGTGAGCAACGGTGTCGTCTCATTGGTCAATCATCTTCCAGGGCAAGTAGTACAGACTCGGCATATGCTACAGTACGAGGGTTTGATTTTCGCAGAATTCAGGATGTCCAGAAGTACGAAGAGGAACCTTTCAATGGAAGCATTCAGAATTCTGTCGAATGTATTGAAGAAATGCCTAGTAAACCACAAACTGTGGGTAGGTTCAGTGTTGCAGTGGTTCATGTAGAAAAGGAATTCGACAAGAAGACACCAGAAAACGAAGATGTGAACGAATCACCTTCCTTACAAAGAGCAGGATCTACAGTTGATTTTGAGGAACCTAGTAACACACTGAAAAAAGTAACGTTATCTACAAATACTGTCTGTTCCTCAAATAACATGAATGACAATGATCAAAATGTTATTGAAAAAAGCCTCTCGAACATTGATAATTATGAAAACGTTAACTTTAAGGGACAAACTAAAAAAGCTTTTAAAATAGATAGGTTTCTAGTTTCTAAATGTAACTCTTCTGAACGACTTTTCCAAGCAGCAGATCCCCACAAAATACCTTCTGACATTGCTGCTGAAGTTTGTGGTGATTGCTATAGATACGATACTATAAACTTGCCCTCTGGAGAAAATTCAACAACAAATATGGAAGACAGTTTAGTAGATAGTTCAAAACAAAGACATCAATTATTGGTCAAAGGAAAAGAACTAAGCAATGCTTCTAACCCAATGCAACTGTCGACTGAAAATTGTCCAAACAGAATGATGTTGCTTACTGCGTCAGATATTGGAGAATTTGACAACTTGCTTCAGACAAATGATGCTGATATTTTAAATCGAGACTTGAATTATTTAGAAACTGAACTTTGATACAAAACCCCAACTAAAACAGCATGTAATCGTAAAATGATGTAAAAATAAAATAAAATACAATAAGGAGAATCTGTAGATGCATAAATGTGACCATTAACCATTAACATAAAAACTATGCAATCGGAAAACAAGTCATCATGTGAAAAACTGAACTATAGAAAGGAATGTGTATATGAACTGACGAATAAAATTTAATAATATAATTTTAATCATCATTTTATTTGGTAGTTTTACTAGGCCCTACATGTGCCCAATCATCATTAAATCATTGAAAAGTATTTTACAATTTATTAACATATTCGTTTATTGCATGCGACATCAACATGCATCTTAATGATCATCATCACGACCATCTTTATCATCACATCACCGGCGTCATCATCATCTTTTCACACCATCGTCATAATAATAGAGTACCGTATCATCGTCAAATACCCCGTCACCTTCACCATCAGCATCATCATTGTCACCAACCACTATCATCATTATCACCATCTTTAAAAAAACAAACGGTTTCCAAGGCGTCTTACATTAAGGCTCCGGATGATTTTTTTTTTTTTTTTTTTTTTTTTTTTTTTTTTTTTTTTTTTTTTTTTTTTTTTTTTTTTTTTTTATATGTTGTACAACCGATTACTTTAAGGCACAAAAACCATGGGGCTATTTGACGGAAAACTCCCAAGCGGTTAATGAGATACATATTTTAGAATATTTGAAAACTGGGGGAAGGCGGAAAAATGGTGGTTACTCCTATTTTCCCCCCAGTTTTTAAATATTAAAAAAATCTTTAACTCATTCCGCTTCGAGATTTTCGTCAGATATGTTTTTTTTTTTTGTCTTGAAACACAACAGACTTTTTTTCCTCCTTATCAACGGCAGACAAGAGCATTGGTCAGGGTCCGGAATAAAAAAAAAAATCCCTGGTAGGGTTCATGGCAAGAGTTTTTTTTTTAGGCTTAGCACTTTTAGACCACAATATTGGCATTCAAATTTAATAACGTTATTTCGGGGGTGGGGTCCAGGCCTTTCCGACGGGGAGTGGGTTCTTCCCCTCACCCACTGGCGCAATGTAACGAAATAGATTAAAACAACCCAGAAAGACAAGAGTTACTAACACCTTAAACTCTATCTAGAAGTAATTTTGTGTTGCTTATTTAGTATTTTTGACAACTTTACTTATGAGTTCTTCAAGGAGGTCAACATAGGGAGGTGTCCTCTTTCCTCTCCCCTTTAACTACGCGATTCTTTTATTATCAGTCAGTAGGCCTATATTATTACCATTGGGCGATTGCGTTTATTGGCCCATGTCCTGGGAACCATTATACCATGTTGGTGGCGTTTTATGCGTTGGTGGTTTCACATGAGGTTTTATAGGGACTTGATCACATGCTTATCGGCATAAATCAGGTGACTTCTTTGTTGACACGAGCAGGGTGGTTAGTTGCGGTGCAGACCTCACTTTATTGCAAATATGAAACTGAGAGTTTTTGTATCAGTTATTGCTTTTTTTGCAATTAATAATATTACTAGAAGTTTTGCTTACAAGTATAATACCAAGTACTTTGATCAAACTATCGACCATTTCAACTTTGCCTCCTATGGAAGTCAGACATTTAAGCAGAAATATCTGTATAATGGTAAGTGTGTCAGTAAAAAGATTACCAAGACAGACATGGGATATAGTCTTCTAGGCCTATCAATAGCGGGGACCCAGGAGCAGGCCCAGGAGGCAACCGGTCACTTGATGTCATGAATCCACGAGCCCAAGTAACCAGACGGAACTAACTGAAAATTTAAAAAATTGTATTAGGCCTATAATAAAGATATTTGGCTTTATTTTTGCAGCCTAGTAGTATGGCCTAACCCAATAATAATAATTTTCATTTTAAATTATTATATTATTATTATATGGTTATTTAATTGATTCGTTTGATCCATATTGTAACTATTTTTTTATACCATTATTCCAGATTCATATTGGGATAAAGAAAATGGCCCAATATACTTCTACACTGGCAATGAGGGACCCATTGAGGGGTTTTTGCAGAATTCAGGACTAGTATATGATCTTGCGGTCAAGTCAAAGGCTCTCATCGTTTTTGCAGAACATGTTAGTGTAAAACCAGGCCATCTGTTATCATTTTTGTGTTATAGTACCTCTATCTATATATGATCTCCAATTTAAAATTTAAGAATTGTAATTTAAATTTAGATATCAAACTATCAAACATAAATATTTCTACTGTACAAAAAATTGCATATATTTTTTAAGAACTCCAATGATAATTCCTAATGCTACTTTGAGTTAATAAATGTTAAGATCTTTCCATACATCAAATTTTATGTGAAAAAATTGTGTGATGTACCCAGAGTGTGATGATGTCATATTACACCCAAATATAGACATGTCAAACATGTCATATAAATTTTGAGTGTGCTGGACAAAGCTTTAGAATCAATGATTTCATTTTTCAGTGTACATAAAAGAATGATTGAATGTATAATATTTTTTTACTTATGTTGCTGTTAAATATCTGTCTTAAAGAATTTTCTACAATTTTCTATATTTTTGTGTAGAGATTCTATGGCTCATCTTTGCCATTTGGAGCTCATTCATTTAGTCCAGCGAACATCAGTTTGTTAACACTGGAGCAAGCAATGGCTGATTATGCTACATTGATAACACATTTGAAAGAAAATTTAGGGGTCCATAATACTCCTGTTATAGCATTTGGAGGAAGGTACAGTATAAAATTATTTTATCCTTTCAAATTATTAGCCTAAAGCCGGCCACTCACTGCGTTGTGCAATAGTCATGTGACCTTCACTCGACGAATTAAACTCCGCTCGCTGTGGACGCTAGTCAACAGAACGCCGCCTGCTGATTGTTTGTGGCAGTTTGAATGGATCATTACTAAAAACGATCCGTTGCACGCACATTGTTGCTTTGCGTTCTTCATAGAATCACATCGGCCGACGACTGCCGGGCACCGTGAGTGCACGGCTTAAAGCTTTGCCCGTACTATCAAATTTTCTTTGGCAAAAACCGTGTATGCCCTTATATACCACCGTCCCGAGGCAAAATAATGTAACTGACAGTTTTGTAGATTTTGAGATAATATCATTTGGGAGAATAATAAACACGTCTTAATTACCTGTGAAAATTTCAGGTCTCAATAATGAGTCGTTTCGGAGATAGCAACACCTATCTTTAAGAACAAAACTTAAAATCTAGTGATTTTCCTTGGCAAAACAGGATATCTACCAGTTTACGGGGCAAAACAACGTAACAACGATGAATACGTTGTTGTGCCGTGGAATAGTATTCAAAAATTTCTTGAGCTGATGAAGTTTTGCAAGGCAAAATCAAATGGTTATTGGTGTTTTTATATCAATAATCTTAACAGTGACGTATGAACAAGCTAGGTAATGCATATGATTGCCCTAAACGTGATAAATTCCAAAAATTTATTGCAAAGTTGGCAACATGCAGACTTTTAACTCTATTTTTCTCCAAAAGTGAAAGTTACATTTTTTTGCCATAGGACAGCCGTATAGTCATGATGTGTCTATGTATGTCACATGTTTTTGTTAAATCAAATTTGATAGTCTGGTCAGGGCTTCATATATTTAGTATGAATATGAACAATTTGTATAATTTTTATAAGAAATGAAATGGCAACTCTCATTCGGAAAACAGAGGATTTATCTTTCATTTTAATAGTGAATATTTCATAAAAAATAATAAAGATTAATAATAAATCTGTGTTTTTTATTTCTCTACCACATTTTCCCAGTTACGGTGGAATGCTAAGTGCTTACATGCGATTCAAGTACCCTAATGTTATCTATGGAGCTTTAGCTGCAAGTGCTCCAATCTATCTCATTGCCGGCAAAGGGGATCGAACTGAGTTCTTTGCAGATGTCACAAAGGTACCATAACATTTTCAAAATGCATAATGTACTACAGTACTGGAAGTTTTGTTGCCAATCACAGGGACATATAGAAATGAGAGTCAATAAGCATTAAAAAGAATATAGGCTGAAACAATTCCAGGTTTCAGTGGCAACTCTCATTTGCCTCATGCATATTGGTCGAAAAAAAAAAAAGTAATAATGCTAATGTTTTCGTTTTTATCTTAAGTCATATTGCGTTGTATATTTTGTGTTCTATGGAAGTAAATTATCTTTTGAAATTGAAATAATAACAATAATTCTAAAGATTGATATAGTGCCAATTCCAAGACAATGAACAAATATGCTTGATTGTTATTACCCTTGGTCACTGGATAACACAAAACAACGTGCATTTGCCACAAAACATCCACAACATCCTACCAGGTTCACATTTACCGGGACACAAGCGACCAGTGGCATATCTAGGAATCTTGAAATGGGGGGGGCGGGGGATGTGCTTGATAATTAAGTGAGGGTGTGCTAGGTCGCAAAATAAGGTGATATGAGATGATTTTTAAGTGCTTGAGAGTGAATGAAATGCTTTGGACATTTTCAATGGGGAGGGGGAAACTGGGTGACATTTCCCAACGCAGTTTCTAGATACACCACTGCAAGCGACTTGCACAGGAGAGTTTTATATTAAGCAATAACAAGTCCAGGTGGCATTCTGTAACTACTAATTTTTGCACTTTTTGTTGATATTTTGTGAACATTTATTGCAGGACTTTGAAAAAGCTGATCCATTGTGCCCCAAAGCAGTCATGACAGCGTTTACTATGTTGGACAATCTAGTGAAGACAGGTGACAACGGTATGCAACTTCATACAGACACTGTTCCATCATGCTTCTTCCTGTTTAGATAATTACATTTTTTTTATTAATATTAGATGTGTAACATTATTTTAAATTCTTTTGTTCAAAATTCTGAAACCATATAAGTTATAACATTAATTTAATTATTACGAAATGATATTTGCCCTACCTGACGTGTTATATGTACTGAATGCTCAGTACATTCCCAAATACTTGCGAAAAAAATCTTTCAAGCCCACGACTTCCAGGTAACTAGCCTGATGTCTTAACCACTAGATCACTGAGTTTGCACTTGGTGGCTAGTGATGAATCCGATCCCCAAGTATCTGCAGGTACTGCAATGTTATTCTGATGGCTTTTTGCATCAGGAGAAGTAATACAAAATGATGTTTGCCCTGCCTGACCTGCTATATGTACTAAATGCTCAGTACATTTCAAAAAAATCTTGCAAGTAATTTTTTTTTTGCAAGTATTTGGGAATGTACTGAGCATTCGGTACATGTAACACGTCAGGTAGGGCAAACATCATTTCGTATTATTTCTCATGACACAAAATGCCATCGGAATATTAATTTAATTATTATTATTATTTTTATCCTTTTTCAATTTCCATTTCCAAGTTCCTGGTTTAACTTCAAAGGCAATCTCTTTTATAATACAAATCAACTGTGTTCCTGAAGTAGTTAAAAGTTGAAACTGGTTTTAAATCTTGAACAATAATAGGTTAAATTATTTATAGCACAGTAACTATGTAGGGAATTGCAGTATTTGGGAATGTACTGAGCATTCGGTACATGTAACACGTCAGGTAGGGCAAACATCATTTCGTATTATTTCTCATGACACAAAATGCCATCGGAATATTAATTTAATTATTATTATTATTTTTATCCTTTTTTAATTTCCATTTCCAAGTTCCTGGTTTAACTTCAAAGGCAATCTCTTTTATAATACAAATCAACTGTGTTCCTGAAGTAGTTAAAAGTTGAAACTGGTTTTAAATCTTGAACAATAATAGGTTAAATTATTTATAGCACAGTAACTATGTAGGGAATTGCATCCCCCCCCCCAAAAAAAATACATCTCTTCCCCCAGTCCCGTCCCTCATTAAAAATTTTAAAAGCAAAAAAAAAAACATGCTCAAGTGCCATAGTTAAAAATCACCTCAAATCCACATGTTTGCAAGCCTCCTCACATAATCATTGAGCCTCCATTTCACCGTCACGACTCCCCCACGCCATCAGTTCCCCCACACCATCAGTTCCCCCACACCATCAGTTCCCCCACTTTCAAGAATAGATATGCCACTGTTATAGTATCACTTCAGATGTCATTAGGTTCTATTGTTTTCAAAATATATTGGTTTTCCTTCATTCATTTCTCCAGGCATAAAGAAAGTTTCTGAATTATTCAAGTTGTGTAAGACACTTGATAAGGGGCAGGTAACTCATCTTCAAGGCTGGGTACGCAACTCATTTACGAGCCTAGCAATGATGGACTACCCATACCCTACAGACTTTCTAGCCCCACTCCCAGGCTCTCCAGTCAATGTAAGTACAAGCACTTAAGTTATGCTACATTTAGTAATAGTTCATAAAAACATCTGATTAATATGAATACTAATAGTTTATATTATAGCCAGATAAAATATATTGTTGAAAAGGCCATTTTTCAAGCTATATTTAAAATAAATAACATTTGCAGAAGAAATGCCCAATTCATTTCAATTTCATGTTGGCTGCATAACTTATTTTAGAAGCTAAAAACAGAGGAATGACTTAAAGCTGGGGAACTTGCATGACTGCATTGTCGTACCAGTGACGTAACCAGAGGGAGGGGTGCCTTTTATGTTCAAACATTAAAAAAATAATAGTAAATTAATGGAAATAAAAAGTAAAGCAACTTTAGACTTAAAACATCCAATTTATGGTGCATTTCTAGCCATTGATACCTACTTTTGTGATTTGCGTTATGTTCAGTAGACGTAATACTTTTCTATTTAGTGCCCCCTTTTCAAAATTCTGGATACACTACTTCTGTACCCACAAGTTGAAGCACCAGAATGGCCAATACCCTACGACCTTTTAAGTCACTTGTGTTGTTTTCTATGCAAATTATATTATTGTTTTGTTGATGTGGTTATTAGTTGTAATTTTGGCTACAGGAGTAAATCAATCATTGACAATTTCTTTTTTTATAGTATGCCTGCAAAGTTATTTTAAGTGCCAATGACCCTCTGCAAGGACTTGCTGAAGCCGCAGGTTAGTGTTTTACTGAGTCTTCTATAATAGCCCTTAGGGGCGGATCCAGAGATATCCGAAAGGTGGGCCAAAAGTGGGGCCAATTGAGACAACACTACTTTAGGGGTCCGGGGGAATTTCTTGCAATTTTTGTTTTCTAGACAACCAAAAATAACCTGTGAGGAGTTCTGGGCGATAAATTATTTCTTTTTCTTCTTTTCTTTCTTTCTTTCTTTTTTTTTCAACTTTCAAAAGGGTGGGTGGGGGGCCCCTTTGTCAACAAAATATCATACCAGGCCACAAAGTAAACAGTCTGATCGATTCGGTGCTGATGAGCAGCATGTTCCGTACCTGGCTGTACTGCAGGTTGTCCGATATTAGCAGTCAGCTGTCCTGACTAACAATTGCATTAAGTAGTGAATATATAAAAGGGGTCCTTTAGAAAAATAATGACCAGGTATTACCATAGTAACATCCACAATGATTGCCTCCTCAACTTCCCATAACATTCAACTATATACATCGCCACCTTTCCCTTATCATTTAACACCGGTATGTGCTAGTTATATTATTATTAATATCTTGTATGCTGGATATATCACCCTAATTAAATAATTCAGTTATAATAACATTATAAATATACTACATTCAATTTTCTATTATTAGGTCTTTTTTATAATGGAACTGGAGGTAGCCTGAAGTGTTTTGATATAATTACCGAGTTTATTGAATGTGCTGATCCTACAGGCTGCGGTACTGGCAATGATGGCCTAGCTTGGGATTATCAGGTACAGTAGACTTAGCTTAGCTTTCGAATGTCATTTTATATTTTCCATTATACCAGTTCAGTAGTGGTACCAGGCCCGGGATTTATCAATCTTAGCTTAGCAAATGTCTTAAGTCAAAAAAGTTAAGATGTCCCTAATAAGTATATTAAGCTGATTTATTACCCAATCTTAGCAATCTTGGCTTAAAAATCGTCTTAGCTTGGTGCCAACGTATAATGGCCTTTCTAATTTTAAGCAAATTTTAAGCTAAGCAATATGGGTAAATTTGACTTGAGAAAAAAAATGGACTTAAGACGAATTTAAGCTGAATTCTAGTTGCTGTGGCCCCAGAAGTTTTTCGATGAGGGGTCCATGTTCCCCTACAGTGGTTACAATTCAGCCCAACCATGTCTTTGAAGCATTTTTTCCTGACATAATACAGTAATTGGCCTCTTTCACCAGGCAACCCCACCCCCCTTTCACCAGGCAACTCCCCCCTCCCCCCGGGGGCCTGGTGAACTCTCATTGGACCCCACTGCCGTCACTGCTATAATTTAACATTTAGGAGATAATTTTCACGGCAAATGGGGATAGTGTTCATGTTTTGTATTTCACCATCTGCAATAATAATTATATTACTTATAAAAAAATAATAATAATAATGGTCAACTTATGGAGTGCATATGAACAACAACTTTCAATTTTTATTCTATCAAGGCCTGCACTGAACTTATACTTCCAGAAGGATCAAATGGAAAGACGGACATGTTTCCATCTCTACCCTTTACACTCAAGATGAGGGATGAATATTGTCAAAAAACCTGGAAAGTAACACCCAGAAACAATTGGCTTGACATTAGTGTTTGGGGTGAAGGTAGGTTCCATTCATACATTTGTAAAATATTGTATGTCATCATCATCATCATCATCATCGCCATATTTTACTTTATTAGGAAAGAAAGTGTGGAAACCAATTAGTCTTCAAAGATAATATAAAATATTCTAATTTCTCTATTTTTCCTACAGATATCAGCACATCTAGTAATATAATATTTTCAAATGGTGAACTTGATCCGTGGAGAGGTGGTGGGGTTCTGTCTAATGTGTCCGACTCGCTTATAGCAGTGCTCGTTGAGGGCGGTGCACATCATTATGACATGAGGTAAATTGAAGGCATTTAGTATTTTTAAAATGTAGTCTGTCAAAACTGAATTAAAAAAATTCAACTACATGTTTGAATTAACTAATTTTTATAAGCAAGTTATTAAAATAACATTTTCCATCATTTAACAGACTGTATTATCTTTCCTGTACCATTTTTTATGTAGACCCTTAAATTGGCTGGTATTAAAATATCTGTAAATCAACGAAAACTCTTCTTTAAATTTTTTTTCTGTTAATTACTTCTTTGATCCTTTTATATGATTTTTTTGGGGTTTCTCAATTACAGTATTTTGGCAGACAGTACCTGTATATATAAAAAAAGTTGAGGTTTATATTTTTTTAAATATTTCTATAGTATTTGGTACATGTATGTGTGTTTCTTCAGATGCATATACTGTATATCAAGTTAAATGTGTTAACTGCAATAATATCAAGTTTTTTGAAGCCCTTGGATTTGATCCATAATAATGATACCCACTGGTTCAAACCTCAAACTAGAGGTTGAGAGCAAGCACCAACCACAATGGCTGTGTCAATGCTCTCCCACTATTTCGCATGTAAAATTGACCCATTACATAATTATTCAAGAGGGTACAGCCAATGCGAAATATTTTTTTGTTGTAAATGTATTTGTAAAATGTTATTGATATATGAACTTGTTATTCTGCTTGGAAAAATAGTATATAAGTGTAGCATATTAATAATAATAATAATAATGATAACAATAATAAAAATTAATAAATAATAATAATAATCTTATTAATTACTATAAAAGGTAGATAAATTTATTTTTTACCAAAATACTTCTATTCATTTCACATCACGAAATACAAGAAATATACTTAATAGATACCTGTGTATTGTCATTACTGTTTTTTTAACTAACTTAATTGTTATAGTTTTTCACTGATTAAATCGTATTTGAATCTTTTAAATTCCACAGGGGTTCTGATACACGTGACATACCCTCGGTTATTGCCATCAGGAAGCAAGAAGCTACTATTATCAACAAGTGGGTTGCAGAAGCCAAACTATCAAATAAACAAAGAAAAATATCTACATAATATCTGAATTGAATCATCATTGTCCATGAATTGAGAATAATTTTTTAATTATTAAACTGTTGTTTTTAGATTAAAAAAATGATTAGGTGGCAGAGGAAAAGGTCAGGGTGTTATTCTGATATATAGCACCTGGGTTTGCCTGTGGCATAACGAGTCAAGATTCTCATGACAATCAAAGACCTTCCTATCAAGTTTTATAACAAGCCCCTTCCCCCAAAAAATTATTTAAAAATTAAAAATTAGAAAAGAAAATTACATTCAAAGTTCTTGAGAGTGCCATTTCAGGCCATCTATTCCCCCAATTCCGCAATCTTTTTAGTCCACAGCTAAAATTAAATGTCAAGCACTCAGATGCGACTCATGGTAAAACAGAGGTTTAGCCAGAAAAAAGAAATAGGCCATCCACAATGGAAGACAAAGAACTTGTCGCGTAGGTCAAGCAGTCATGGTAAATGTGGACATAATAAATGATGGCACGCTGCCTATTTGATTATTTATTTATTTTGTATAAAACACTCAAAATGCAACAAAGATTGAACATTTCTTGAGTTTACATATAGAAATAAGCCTACCAAACAGAAAACAGACACAAAAGAAGCATAATACTGTACAATACAATCAAAAGTGTAAGCCTACAGTAAATAATTAGAAAATAACTAATCTATAAAAGCGGTATTTACAATTTTATAAAAAGATATTAAATTTTATAGTATCAAATATATATTATTATTTTATATACTATACAGCAAATTGATTATTAATGGATATATAATGCAAAATCATACAAAATATACAATTCATTAAAATTATTGAATATTTTCCTTATCAATTTATTAAAACCAAAATATATATACATATATATATATATATATCTGAGGTGGCACACTGTACTAGTTGGAGCTACGTAACCTCCTTTCAGGTTTGGGGTTCTCTGGAATCCAAGATACAAAACATTCTGATGTCACCAGACTCTTGCAAAATTTCGAAAGTAGATTTAGATCGTCGTTCTTGTAATGATGTTAGAGTAAGTGTATCCAAGGCATCCTGGTAACTACTGTAGTTTTTATAGCCAAGAATGATCTTGAGTGCCCTTTTCTGGATGAATTCCACCTGCACACACTGCTTCTTCGTTAAAGCAGAATGCCACAGCGGACTAGCGTACTCCAGCAGGGGCGGATCTAGGATGAAATTTAGGGGGGGGCCTTACTCGGGGCGAAGCACCAAGCCGAGTTGCGAAGCACCGAAGTGGGTGGATGTGGGAGGGGGTATCCCCGCTCCCAATATTAGGAAATTTTTTTTTTTAAATTAACACTAAGACAGTCGTACACAGCTTTCTAATCTAAAGAATTAGATTGTGTTGCTATTGTTATGGAGTCGTGAAAAATATATTCGATAATTCGTACACACGTTTTCTGCCGAATGACTCTGACTGTTGTAAGTGCGATATATTATTATTTATTATTATGTTGGATATTATGTTGGCATTAATTGATTATATACTCATAAATAAAATTTGCAAATACCGATGTACGGTAACTATACCAAAAGATTGTACTTTTATTCTATCATTTAGTAACCACATGTTCACCACGAGCCTTGTTGATGTGCACCAGAGTAATCAACAAAAAACAACTGAAGTACTGTATGTAGTAATAAATAGGCCTAGATATGATCTTTTCTATTTTTTCTTTCTTCTCTCTCCCCCTCCCCCTTCTCTCTCTTTTTCCCCTTTTTTTTGGGGGCCTCCTGCTCCAGTAAGGGCCTGATGTACGTAATATAGGTAAATACAAGGTTATCTCAAGGGGCACCATAACGCCTTAGTATACACAACATATACAGACGACGGGAGGTGGTCTTAGATACCATTTCATTCACTTGAGTGTCCCATTTCATATTTTGTTGTATATGGACACCCAGCAACTTAACAACAGATTTCACTTCCAAAATGTCATTCCCTATACGTAATGGAATGAAATTGGGTTTGTTCTTAAGGAAATGAACATGCATTACATTGCATTTGTCGGCATTAGGTAGCATATCATTTTGGTTGCACCAAGTTTGGAGCTCATCAAGATGCTTCTGAAGAGAATGGCCTGCTGTCATATGACCACCAAGAGGAACATGACTGATCTCACGGATAGTCAAGTCATCGACAAACTTCCATTTCTCTGGAATGTGTGTGCATATATATGGGTGTGCAAGTGTATGTACATCTGGTGGTAGCCACTGTGTGCGCGCTGAACCGTGGAGATCACTAGGTCCCCGGTTCAATTCCCATCCCTGCCTCTCCTTGTGTTTCAGCTAGAGGGCTGAAATACAAGTTACAATAGCGCACCGTCTTTCGGATGAGACATTTAAGCCGTTGGTCCCGTGTGCATCTATGGCCCATGTGCACGTTAAAGAACGCAGTACACTCTTCGGGAAAGAGTAGGGGATTGTCTCCTGGTGTACTGCCCAATCACCACCAAAAGGACCCCACTGAAATAAGTCTTCTTTTAGACTTTCGTGGGCTATCCTTGGTGTTTACACCGAATAAATCCAAATCCATACATTTGTATTTGTATATTTAGTAATTTTATATGCATATTCAAACAGTTTTAAAGTGCTTTTTAATGTATTTTTTTTAGTTAAGTTGTTTTCTTTTAAGTTATTTGTTATGATTGATGCATCTCCTGAGTGCCGCTGATGTAAATGGTGTCTGTATAGAGTCAATAAATGATTTGATTTGTGTGCTAATAGATCATTGACCAACACAGTAAAAAGAATGGGACCTAATTTGGTGCCTTGAGGCACTCCACACGTAACTGGCATGGGCGGGACCTTTTCATCTGGCATGATTTTACACGGTCAAAGGCCTTACTGAAGTCGACAGTACAAATAGAGGCATACATTCCATGTCCATTAGTACCTGACAAAATCCTATAAGCCCTTGTGGTAAAATGATTAAATTTGGTATAATTTTTTGAGTTTAAGTGGTCAAGTCAATAATAATTCAGACGTCCGTTGTTTTTTACGTGCGAGACAGCGAAGATCAGAGGAATTACCCACTGGATTCTTTTGTCAACCAATAAGATGCCATCACGTACAAAATCGAATAAAAAACCCAAGATTGAAAATATAACTTTTAATTACTCATTTAACAGAACCACTTAAGTTACCAAATCTTTAATAAATTACAGATTGAAATGGATGTTTTTATTTACTACAAAAAATCTATAATTTGCTGCCAGATGTGTTGACAAGGAAAATATTTTTTCTATATTTTTTAGCTGAAAGCCAAACACATTGAAATAAACAAAAGTAAAGTTGTCATACCTGAAGTAAAAATGTTTTCATAGTTTTATATTATTTAACATGAAACTATTGACAACATATGCATTATAGAAATAAAACTGACTATATGCCATGCTTCATTGCACTTTTGTTTAATACTGAAGTTGATTTCTCTCTAAATGCAAAAAAATTGGAAGAGTGACTAAAGTGATCACTTTAATAGTGAAACAAAAAAATTTGCTCTCAGTGAAGTTTACAAATTTTTGAACTATTTTAAGAAATATATTCACTCTTAAAATTTTAAGAGTTGATATACTATTGATTTATTTGTGTAATACTTAAGGAAGTGTTATTTCATTTTATTTCATTTATTCAAAATAACCTCCAAGGAGAAGCAAAGAAATACAATCAAAACAATGCAATTGAATTAAAAAACGTGGCTTGAATAATTAGAAACAGGCATAAAATTCGGACATTACACTCACTTATTAACTTTCATCTACAAACTGAACTAGAAACGGTCCATGGCAAGTTTTTGTTTTCCTTGTGTTGTGTAATTTGCATGAAAACATGAAAATAGTAGGCCTATAGGGCTATTTTATATACATATACATATAAATACATATATATATACACACACAACACACACACACATATATATATATATATATATATATATAATTCTGTTCTTGGTCCGTTACCATACTATTTCTCATCTATGTGAACAATTTGCCCAGGGGCAGTGACATCTGTCTCTTATACACATCTAGATGTGTATACAGCTAAAAAGCTATATATATATATATATATATATATATATATATTGTCACGTATGAGCGACAGTGGTTCAAAAAGGGAAGATAACGTTCAGAGATGCTAGACAATAAAAACAAAGTACTCCGGACACAGCATCAAAGTAGTCGATGTAATAGTTTAATGGTTATAATCATCGGTTGATCAAGCCGAACAACGTGCCACATAAGACAAATCTACCATGGATATTCTTATGAATACTCCGGTTACTTAACCCGGACTATACATTGACTATGCAAAACAAATATCGTTATGTTTTCTGAACCAAACAAACTATTTTAACGTCTCACAAGATAAATTATTACGTTCACCAAGACGAATCATACCTCACTATAACTGAGTGGCCAGTTAATACCATACATAGGCAATATATGAGTACACATCAACAATTATTCCGAGCGGCAATAGAATAATACCGTACATGAGCTATATCAATATATGAATATACATTAATAATTATTCCGATTAGCAATAGAACAATACCATACATGGGCTATATCAATATACTAGCTTGCTTGTGATTGGCTATGCTAGTCACTGTAATTTGAATTTAGTTAAGTTTGGTGCAGCTCTTCAAGTCTGAAGTTTGTCTTAATTCTGGCCTATGCATCGTAATTGCCTGTATGTGATGTGGATTGCTGAGAACTGAAATAAACTCAGAATTTGAAGTTAAAGTATAATTGTGTTGGCTGAATTAAATTTCTACTGGTGTTGGTGAAAAAGAGTGTGTGCTAATTGTGTTATATATCAATTAGTAGCAAAGTGATAAGAAAAAATACTATTGTATTAACAATACAAGAAGATGAGAAGTATTGATGACAGACAGTAATATTAATATTATTACACCAGTTACATAATACAGTAATATTATATTACATTATATGGTGGCAACTACATTATACTGCCCTAAACCAAAATATGTTGTATTGTAAATGTGCATTGGTGAAATGAAATGAAACTTTGTTTAAGCTGCCCTTGACCAAAATATGTTGTATTGTAATGTGCATTGGTCAAATGAAATGATGAGCTTTCTATTTTAGTAGCATCAGCACTTTGTGCTAAATTTCATCTGATTTGATTTGAATAATAATTGTTCAGTATGTACAATTGTTGAATACTGTATATCTGTAAATTATTTTTACTGTGATATAAAAAAAGTTGTAATTGCACATAAAATAAGCATGATATACATAAAATAATACTGATGTCACCCAAATTGTGACCTCAATAAGACTTTATTTAAAAAAATTTTATTTCAACATGCAGCCATGGTTATGGGGGGGGGGGGGAATAGGAGGAAAGAAGGTAACTGTGTGAAAGGTGGGGATAGCCATTTCCCCCCAATACATTCTGTAGAGGGATCCAAGGTAAAATTTTCCTTCTTAGATTGTCAGAAATGGGTTCTTTAAATAAGTGGTTACAGGTAGGGTAAAGGTAGTTTTACAACTTAATTTTCAGGAATATAATTTTGTAAATTTATATCTTTTATTTCATCTAATGAATATTCAGGCATCCATGCCAAATAAAAGCTTCTGCTATCACCAACAAGAGATTCACCAGCTACATGAAGGTAACCGGACATTAGTTAACATACATAAAATCGTACACTGAGACAACTGTTTAAAAAGTACAAACATGAGCGTATACAAAAAAATAAGTCAGCATACATATATAAAATTTTTCTGGTTTTTTTACAATTTTTAAAATTTAAAATTGTCTTGTAAGTTTGTATGTATATACAGGTTTTAAAAAATAAATCAAATTATTATAAAAACGTTTTAAAGTACCCTGTAGAAAAATGAGCATGCACAAATAAATGTACAATATTTAACAGTATGGAAAACAAAACTACTGTATGTATTCATAAAATAACAATATTATCCATTAGAACATTAAGAAAAACATTGATTCAACTGTAAAAAATATATAAAAGTATCAAAATAAAGTTTAAGTACAGCCTAATAAATAAACTTTGAATATATGTAATATCTGCAATAAAACATGAATATGAAATGCAATACTAAAAATTCCACCATGTTCAAACCTCTTAAGAAAAACACTGATTCAACTGTAAAACTATAATATTAGCATAAATATCAAAATAATGGTTAAGTGTGGCCTAATTGCATTCAATGTATGTAATACTATATATTGCACATTTGATTAGAAGTCCTAAAATACTATTTGTTTAGAATACTCAGTCTTCAAAGGAAATTGGAATACTTCTATCATGTTCAAGCTTCTTAAAAAATACATTGATTCAACTGTAAAACTATAATAGTACCATAAAGCCTTGTTCGCACTGGATTTAAAAAATGGTAAATTTAACCAGGGTAACTTTAACCAAAGTCATGGGTACATTTCACCATTGTTCGCACTTGGATTATTCACACGGTTAGTTTTACCATACTAGTTTTACCAAGATTTAAACTTGTGTATAAAAAATATTATTTAGGGCGCTAGTTTGTGACTTCAAATTCCGGTTTTGTTCGAGCGGTGTCAACATGCAAGAAGTCCTAACCGTGTTGCACGTTCGGATTGGACTTCTTGACCAGCGTGGTTAGTTTAACCGAGACCGTGGAAAGTTTTACTGGGCTGGCTGAGGTCGGTAAAATTAACCATTAGGCTTGGTTAATTTAACCCTGAGGGAATAGTAACCGACGTTCGGATTGGATTTTTTTTTGGTCAACTTAGCCAGTGACTCGGTTAATTTGACCAAATTAAGTCCAGTGCGATAGGGGCTTAAGTATCAAAATATTGGTTAAGTATAGCCTAATTGTACTATTGCATTGGCTTAGAAGTCTTATAATATTATATGTTTATAATACTCAGTCTTCACAGGAAACTGGAATACTTCCATCATGTTCAAACTTCTTAAGAAATGTACATTAATTAAACCGTAAAACCATAATAGTAGCAATTGCATTCAATGTGCATAATAATATATTGCATATGCTTAGAAGTCCTAAAATACTATATGTTTAGAATACTCAGTCTTCAAAGGAAACTGGAATACTTCAACGACCCATTGTTTCATATCCGGGTCAGTCAGTTCATATTGCTTTTTTGTTGATGTTTTAGCTTCTAGTAGAGTTGGATTTTCTTCAAGTTGTCAATCTTCATGCCTGTTGGAAGACATTCCCCAGAATACCTATGATGAAGGAAAATAATAATAATAAATATAATAATAATCGTTGACTTCTATAGCGCAAAATGACGGAGCTTTAATAAGCTTAACATTAAATTTTAAAGAATATGATCAACTTCTTTTCTTATAAGCCCACTAATACTGTACAGTAATTAAGATTTATAAAGAATAAATATATAATATTAAGTCTATCTTAAATGAGTTGTAATTTGCTGCTGTCATCAGTGTTTTAAAATTAATATATTGTTTCAGAATACAATTAAAATTTTGTTTTGCAGTTATGTATGTGGTATCAGTTTCTTTTGTGAATACTTGGATAAACCTATTAATGCATAAGTTTCCTTTAAAACTTACCTCTCGAGCATAAAAGTATCTCACTCATAGACTAATAACATCACTGCTGATTTGTTTAAATTGTTTTGGTACAATTTCAAATAGTGCACATACAACATAGATTGTAAACATTAGTAAATATTTTTACAGGTTATTAGTAACTTACCGAAATACCTTTAGATTATTGTGTCTTTCACATGCCTCTGCCACTTCTCCTAGTCCTTCTTCAGCCATCCATAAGCTGACAATTTGAAGACGTTCGAGTGATAAGATTCGTTGTAACATTCTCTCCAATGCATTGCATGCACCGTTTGTAAGTGTGCATTCTTTTTCGATTACTTCTATTTTTCCTTCATCACGTTTCCCATACAGACTCAGTATCTTCAAATGTGGCATATCTGTCAGATTGTCAGCCGCACAACTCACTATCATATCACAGCTTTCTGTCATGTCTGTGATCTTCAGCTCGACCAGGTGACGACATTGGCATGCCCTTTGAACTATCTTAAATGCTTCAGATAAAGACATTCCTTGCAGCGGAAGTGTTAGCAGTTGTAAAAAGTTCATACCCTGTATACCTTTGGCAAATTCTTCACTAGCTGTGTCAAATAACTGGTAGATTGAAAGTTCCTTAAGTACTGTTAATTTGTGAAGGTTTAATGACAAGGTGATCATCCCATATTCAGACACAGGACTATAACTTACATTAAAATGTGTCAACTTGCTAATGTATTTGAAATTGTCTGCTAGAAAACCGATACCATCTCCGATTGGATTATTCTTGAGGATTATTTCCTTCAAGTTGTGCGTTTCCTTAAATGATTTTGCCACTATTCTGCAGACTTCAGGCCCAACATTGGCACTAGAAAGATTTAATACGGTCAAGGACGCCTTCCGTAAAGCATTAGGCAACGCATCAGACATAGTAGCCAAATCAAATCCAAGAACTGTTAACTCCTTAATATTTACACTCTGTAGTGACCTTAAAATAGGACTTATATCTGTGTCATCACCTTTGTGTTCACCTGTGACTTGAAATGTTCTCATGAAAGATAAACATTGATAAGCAGGGAACTGGCGAAAAGCTGGTGGTAATTTTTCTATCTGGCACTCTTTGAGCTTCCGTCTTAACTTTTCTTTTGGCATAACAGAGTATTTTCTCACCTTTCTGATAAATTCTTGTTGGTCATCTGGAAACATTTCCCACAGTGTGCTTACTTCTTTATTAGTTTGAATACATATATTCATCAATTCAATTTTGAATATATTTAAACTTACATTTTCATTTGAATCGTGTGGAAATTGACTGAACTTCAGAAGATAACCGAGAGAGTTTGCAGTTGTCGAAGAGAAATTGCTGAATCTCATTTGTCCCTGCTTAAATAATAGAACCATGATGTCATTCAGTGAACCAGAACATTTACTCTCATGATAGCAACGAATACACAGCTCTACGTATTGTTGAAAGGCCATGCTGCTTTCGAAAGAGAGCTTGCCAGAAACATACCTATCGCTATTGTTCGAAAGCTCATTTTCAAAAATCCCCAACAAGTGTTTTAAAACTAATTTTGCAACCTTTACATTTGTACCACTCAAGAACAAAAGAAGCATTTCATATTGGAGAGCATCTTTGACAGAAGATATTTTATGTAGGTAAGACCGGAATTCTTCAGGATTGTGGCGAGCCAACTTAGCAGCAAATAGTGCTGCACATTTTTCCTGAGCAGTTTTGTGAAAAAAAAGAACTCCAACCTCTGGGTTCATGTTTTTTCTGAGTTTTTCAATTGGGAAGAAATCTTCGTCATCTGAATCTGTGTCTTCATCATCGGAATCTTTGTATGGCACATTCCCTGTTGCAGTATCTTTCATCAGTAAGCCAATCTTGCAAGCAATACCAACAACATCCCCTGCGGTGCTACCTTCCATTTCTGCACTTTTGCCAAAATCATCTTCTCTAAAGATTAAAGTTCTGTTATTAAATAAACCTTCCAGTCCAACCCTACCTATAATTTTAACAACTTTATTCAGATATTTAGTCAACTGTTTTTCGTTTTCTTTATCCTTGTCTATATGTCTCTGAAACATGTAATTTAGCAGTTTATCATATAATTCACTTATCGTTTCTGGAAGTTTCATTGAAGCATTATCCTTCCATAACCAGCATAGAATCATTGTCATCATTGGAAGAGTTGCAATACCTGTAATCAACCCATTGTTTTGTAAGTATCTGATAAGAGACTTTCCTCTGTCAACATCCCTTAGAAAGAACTTCTGCACATAGCACTTGACATTCTCTTTAGAAAAACCCTGTAACTCGCAGTGAAGGTAGGTTCCCCTGTGATTCTTGAATTCGTCAACTCTCCATGGCCTTGATGTCACTACCACAAAACTTGATCTAAGATGTTTATTTTCTAGAAGATTTAATATTTCACCGTTATCTGGGCTCTCGATACTCCTTGGTTTGTACTCATCACAAGCGTCAAGAAGCACAGCTACCTGATCAGCGTGCTGCCTCATAAATCGATTGAGAAGAGCTTTATATACTGTGTATTCTTCAGTCAGTATGCCATACTTGAACATAGCTTCAACAATATCTTCATCTGGAGAAATTTTCTGCATGCTGAAAGCTATCACAAGTTTGAAACGCGTTATTGGTGAATCTTTGTTTCCTTTCGCCCAGTCATAAGCGATTTTGTTGATGAGTGTTGACTTGCCAATGCCAGCTCTACCATATCCTAATACACGTGTTACTGGAGCTCCACTGCTGGTGTCCTTTTTGAAGATATCATGATAAGATTTCAAAGGGATTTTGAGTTGTTCATTTGGCTCAAGTAGATCTATGACCATTGTCAGATTGGTGAATAGCGTGTCCATGCTGACAATATCAGATCGATCCCATGGCAGCAACTGAATTTGGTTTTTTGTTTGAAGATAGTGTTGCTTGATGGCATCAAAACAGAGTTCCAGTGCATCATCCTCGCTAACCACATGATGTTGAGGTACTGTGCAAATAAAATGAAAATCATGATTAAGGTGACATACAGTACTGTACTGTACTGTGATTGTACTGTTAAATCAGTTAATGTCTCTTTAAATTTAACATGTTTTGGATTTAAAAGGTATCAATACTATTACATAGAAGATTGGCTGCAATGATATACATTTATAGAGCTTATATTGAACTATGCGTTTTACACCAAATTACAAAATAAAAAAAAAGAACAAATGGTCAAAAATACAGTGCAGAACAATAACATGTGCACCATGGCCCAAACACAAGAGGCAAGGTGAGGTTAAGCATTTATTTACAGTAAGTGTATGGTCTGTAAATATCATAGGCATAGTTCCCGGGGGATAGGCGTAGATCCCCCCAATATTTGACAAGGGGGAGATGGTCCATTGTATCATCCCCCCCCCCAATATTTTCCCCCCAATATTTTGACTATGTATGGGATAAAATGGAGCTTTACACACTTCAAAGACTATCACAGAAATAATTTTCACTGTCTTATGGGCTTACAAAGATGAAAATTAGCATAATGTATTAATGTTGATAACAAAATTATTTTATCTGGTACCAATCCAAGCTCTTCTTTCCTTAGATGTTAGATGTGCTTGCAAAGAGAGCCACATTTCACACTGAAGGGTTTGTACGACATCAGTAATGTTATGCCAATTCCATGAATGTTTAAGTTTATATCGGTTGATGAGGAATTTATTGATTAGGCCTATAATAGCAAATTGCATCAATTTGTCTTGCAAAAACAAGGTTTCCAGCTTCAGAGGGGGACACATCCCGTCCGCACAAGGGCACACATTGGCGCTAACTCCAGGCGCGTAACCGGGGTCTTGGGTAAGAGTGGGTATTTATTTTCCCGGTTAGTAATTTACCATACCCACCCCACCCCACTCTCCATATAGAAAACAATATGACATAGGGCTTATCTTATGTATAATATAGGCCACACACGTGTGTTTGAAATTAAATATAAGCATTTTCATCATGGTTTTATTTATTAAAAACATATTCTTTCACCATCAATACACATTGAGGCCCTTCTTTTAGGTTAAAAATGATCTACAGTATCTTAAATTTTTCTTTCTTGAGTTTGGGACTATTATGTGTTTAATTAATTTAAAAGGATAAACCTAAAAAGGACCTAAAAAATGTGCGCAAAGCGCGCAAAATATTTTTGTGTTTTTAATTCTAATTTCGTCGGAATTGATGAAAACTCCCTAAAATGTGCAATTTATAGAGGAAATTGGCCTACCGTAACAAGAAATGTGCGCAAAGAATTTGAGAATTTTAGGCACTTTTAGAGAATGCATTTGTCAAGGGGTGGGGAAACATTTTCCAAAGATGGATATTTTCTCCTTGTCCCCCGGTGTTTTTAATTCTAATTTCGCCCATGTTAACAATTGGCCCATGTTAACAAGAAATGCGTGCGAAATTTGAGGTTTTTTGGCACTTTCAGGGGATGAAAAGGGCATTTATAAAGGGGTGGGAAGATTTTTCAAAGATAGATAGCCTATATTCCCCTTGTCCCCCAGTGGTTATGCCATCGGGCAGCATAGATCAAAGGAGTTATGACATTTTTTGAAGTGATGAAGGGGTTGCAGGGTGTTGTGAGTCTGGTCATTATATCTTCCTTTTTATTCTTGTCTTTATTTTTCTCTTCTCTTTTTCTTTTTCTTTCCTTTACTTTCCTCTTCTTTCTCTTTCCCTCCCTCTCCCCTCTTTCTTTTCTCTTATTACCCAGCCCGGTATGACGGCTTGGTCAGCCCGGTAAAAACCGTCAGGGGAGGGGCAGTTTGCCCTCTGCCCCCCGCCCCGCGCCTGTTACGACACTGGCTAACATGCCAATCGTCCCCCGCAATGAAAAATACTTTTCTACGCCACTGGTAAATATATTATAAGACATAAATGAATGTAAGTTCACAAAAAAAAAAACTATACTGTACCATTTGGACAGATGCTTTCTAGTTTTTCTTGAATATTCACCATTTGGTCAGTAAGGCCTTGAACAGCTAAATGTGTATTCTGTTGTCCATGTACAAGAAGTGCTAGACTCTGTGCTACGGAATCCATGTCAGAAGTGCTTTGATCATTCCTTTGATCAAGCGCCACAGGGATATTAGGTAGATCTAACTTTGTTGATATTGCATGCAAATTTAAATTACATGTCTTCTTTAATAGCAAATTGCTTCCTTCTGGTACATCTTTATCTAGTCGATCTGCTTGTAATGCATTAATATTATGTTTACTCATCTGTACTTTACTAGCAGCTGATCCCTTTGAAATAGTTTTGTAGTTTGGTGGTGAAGAGGTTTCAAATTGTGATAACTGATTTTGTGCACCATAGTGTTTTGGGTTGTCAGCACATTTCGGTTGATTCAAAACATCTAGTTGATCAGTTAATGTCTTTAATGAACACTTTACCTTTTTTTGACCATCCAGCAAAATGTCATGTTTGAAACCATGGTTGTACAATCACTTAGAATACCTTTAGAACAACTACTGTTTTTTTATCTTACACCTAAAAAATAGAATTGAAAAAAATTAGGAGGGTACCACAAGTTTAAAAAAAAAAAAAATTAGTGAGTAACTTTACTTCGTTAAAACTCAATCATAATAATTAGGGGCATATCATTGTTAAAATATATGAAGACAGCACTTAAAATTAAATCTTAGTACTATGTGCCTAAATTTTAGGTTTGGTTTCAAATACAGTACAAGTTCTGTAACATACTCTTTTGTGCACCCCTTTAATATCTTGAATTTGCTCTGTTAAGACCTTTAATACACATGTCTAGCCAGACCAGGATGTAAAATAAGGCCTGTGTGTGGGATATACAGTATCCTTCGTGCAAAAAAATTTAGGCCTAAAAATCTGTCTGCGCATTTCGGAAAATAAGGGCCAATTTCTGCATAGATTTTGCCAAAATCAGAAATAGACCATTATTAGTTTATCACCCTCGTGCGCATGCCTTTTATGGTACTGAAAAAAAAAACAATTTTGTTGAAAAAAAAACCAATAAAAAAAAAAAAAAATTTTTATTTTTTTATTTATTTTTTTCACTTATTTTATTAAATAGTTAGTAGATATTGTTTTCATTATCTAAATCATGTTTTACTTTGAATATCAATGCACCAGCAAACAACCCAAGGGTAATATTTGGCTTTACCAAAATAAAAAATATTTTAAAAAAGCCTCCCTCCCTCATCACTTTTCCTGCCCAGATAGGGTGATAAACTAATATTTTTTATAGGGCATAATCTTAACATTATAACCCAGGCCGGGCCGGCGGAACGTTTTTCACAGTAAGCCCACTATTAAGATGAATGGGAATATGAATCAGGGGAATCTTGGTTCAAATTTATGGGTGGGAGTAAACAGCGCCTCCTAGTAGCTAGTCTAGGCCTACCTATATAGTAATAGGCTACGCAGGCCTAGCTAACAGAAGCAGGTCAACTCGGCCACAAGTCAACTCGGCCACAAGTCAACTCGACCACAGTCAACTCGGCCACAAGTCAACTTGGCCACAAATCAACTCGGCCACAAAAAGTTCGGCTACAGTCAACTCGGCCACAAGTCAACTGGGCCACAAGTCAATTCGGCCACAAGTCAACTCGGCCACAAGTCAACTCGGCCACAAGTTATTTATAATTAAAATGAAATGTAAATATTCCAGTTTCTGCATCCTTTTTCTTCAATATGATTTAAATGAAGTACCGTACACAGTATATTTTAGAAAAATTCTGATCATCGTCTCATCGTCGTGAGATCCAATATACATTTCTTCACACTGCACTCTTATCCAACAGAGAAAACCCACCACTTACAGATGGAATAAAATCTGACAATTGTAACATTAACAATTTAAGCAATCTTAATAATTAAGAAAAACACATATATTAATGTTTAATTTTATTCACGTTAAAACACTGACATAAAACATGAGTACATACTGTAGACATAATCATAAAAAATTGAAATAGAAAAACCACATTATGATTTTTTTAAATGTTAAAAATTAATTTTGAATCAGACTAAAAGCAAATGAATGCACGATGGCGTGCATTTCGATACTATTTTCTTCAGAACCACGCCCAAGAATTAGGCCTATGTTAAAATTAGGCGGGGTGCAGCATCTAGTATCAATTATCCACAATAGGAACAATTGGTATTGTTGAGTGACAGGCTTCAGTCCTTCATATTTGTTCGACCATTGGGGGCTATATTTGAAACCCGTCAGGGACAAGGATGCATCCAATGACGTGAATCACCAGTGACATGTCGTTCCTTTTCAAATATTTACTTTAGTGATACTAATTAGTTATAATAACGAGAGTAAAGGTGATAACAACAATATTACTGTAATAGTAATATTTATTTTAACAATACTAATAGTAATAATATGGTAATAATAATGATATTTAATTATATATATTTTAATTATACTAATTAGTGATAATAACATTGAAGGTGATAAATAGCAATAATAACAGCAATAATAAATTAAAGATAACGTTTATTTTTATGATACTGTAATAGTAATACTAATTAGTAATAATAATAATTATGATAATTATAATACTAGGCCTACTTCGATAATAAAGGTGACAACAACAACAACAATAATAATGATAATAATAATAATAATATGAGAAAAATACCAATAAAACACCAATTAACAATGTTTTTTAAAATTAATATTATTAAAATAATAATACGAAGACTAATATATAATAATAATATGAATTAAAAAAAAATTTTTATTATTTATAATATATGGTAACAATAATAATATCAGCAAAAATTTAAACAATACATAATGTTAATTTTAAGACTAATAATCAATATTAAAACTAACGGTAATAAAAACAACAATAATAATAACAACAATGACACCAATAATTACAGCAATAATAATAATTGTGGCCGAGTTGACTTGTGGCCGAGTTGACTTGTTTGTGGCCGGCTAACTAACCGGCTAGGCCTAACCAAACTACCCAGGCCTATGTATGCACCTAACTAGCTAGCCTAGGCCTAGGGCCTATGGCTTATATTTCCAGTAATACTATAGAAAAAACACACTTACCATTAACAATATACATCTTGATAAAAATAATTCCAAATGGAGTATCACTCTATTTCAAGAAGTCATCATAAGACCAGGGAGATATCTCCCTGATAAGACGAAACAAATTCTCTAAATAGCATAGCAATGCACGATTTGTAATGGTAATTCCCCTTTTTCATCCCTTTCAATTGTTTTTATTAGTCATGAGGGCGCACTCCATTCTGTGGTAGGCAAAACATTTCACGATGTACATGCCTTGGCAAAATACTCTGGTTACTTATTTTGTTGTGTGAAAAATGACGTAATCTACAATGATGAAGGCATGATTAGGTTATATACATATCTTAACAATTGATAACAAATTAATAAAAGTTTGTCACTTATGATTTAAAAATCAAATAATTGTTGTAAGAATCTATATATCAACCATAGATTATTTACGTTATTTTTAAAAATCATATTGTATTGTATATGTTTGTGTTTGTTCTATGGAAGCAAATGTCTTTTTAAATCATTGAAATTGAAAAAAAAAACCATTCCGATGCGGCAATGCATAGAGAGAAAAGCATCGGTTTTATATAGGCTAAACCAGGACGTATGATAGAAACGTTTCATGTAACTGTTTTTATTTCCGTACAGTTTTAAAGAATGTTAGATAATAATATTATTTTTGTTTTACTCTGCCTTCACTTAAAATAATACCCTTTATAATAGTCTCTTCGGAACGTACACGGTTCAAAGAGATTAAAGGGGAATTTAAAAAAAAACAATTGATGGGGGTTTGGATTGGAAAGCCTTTATCAAAACACATTGAGCTTGGAGGATAGAGTGCAGGATAAAATTATTCTTATCCCTATTCACGCTGAACAGAGAAATCTGTCCCCATGTGTGGGGATGAATCTAGGCCATCCAGATTGCCGAAATCCCGTTTTCCGAATGCCAGTTTGCCGATTCCACTCAAAAATTATGAAACCCAGTTCAGGGGCGGATCCAGAATTTCAAACGTGTGGTGGGGGAGAGGCCCAACAGTCTAAGATTAGGTAAGTGAAGTAGCACACAACTTTGATTTGCATTGAAAATTTAAAAATGTAATGGCAAAACGGGGGAGGGGCACATTCCTTCTACACTGGATGCGCCCCTGCAGTTTGTCGAATGCCACTTTGCCAAAACCCAGTTTGCCGAATATGTCAATTTAACTTAAGATATAGAAATTAACAACAGCATAAAATACATAAAATAAAATACATTTAAAATAGCATACACACAATAGTTAATTTAAACAACTGCAATACTCAATTAAAAGGCACATACTAAAACATGTCAATCGTGACGTCATACCTGCAACTCTCAATGTTATTTTCCTATTCCCAGCCTTACAGTAATTTTTCATCAGTGCGTGGTTTGCTTGATCTTGTTTAGGTTCGTGTGCAAAAGGTGAAAACAAGTTCTAGGCTTCTGTTTTTACGGTAGATGCTAAATACAACGGGTTCAGCCGAGGGGGCGTGGCTTCGTATGTTGACGTCATGGATAACTTTCGCTATGTTTTGTATTAATCTCATCGACAAAGTGTGGGCCCTGTGTGTAATCACACAGCTTAGCAATCCGTACAACTAATTCCTTCATGGTACAACCAATGTAAGAAAAAAATAAGTTGTCCTTGTGTGTTTTTCTTTCCAAAAATTAGGATGTCTGAAATATTATCAATTCGTTGGGCCTACACAGAGTAAATAATATAGGTCTAGGCCTACTATTAGTCTTATTTTAGCCGTAGGGATTATGCCTTAATCACAGAAAGAAATGAAAACAATTCAATGACCTAGGCCCTACTATAGTACACTGTACTTAGCAGGGGAGGTGGGTGGGGGTGGGGCAGGGCCCCCGTCGGGGAGATCTGGCTTCTCTTCCACCCCCTGTCGTGGGGAAAAACCTCAATTCGTCGGGGAGAAAAAATGTAATGTATTTTCTACATATTAGTAGACACCAAAATCGACTAAGTAAGCCTTTCAAACCAATTCTTTTTCGGGGGTTGGTGGGGAGCCAAGAGGAACACTTTCGACGGATATTGAGGGACGTCCGACGTTCACTTTTTTCTTCGGGGACTTATAAATTAAAATTACAACTTTTACAACATGACTGCTGAAGATTTTTTTTTAGTGTTCACTGATTTGAAACAATATTGCCGGCTATAATCCAGAAAAAGAGAAAGGAACCGAATGTTATATATATGTAATTTAAGTAAATATATTAACTTTCCAATGTCGTGTATTTTGTATTG